TATATATATATATATTTAAAAGTTTGTTATCTCTCTTGTATTAAAATCTTCCGGCGTTAATAAACTAGATTGTGAGGCAAGCTCAAGCTAGCTTGCATACAATGGGATAATGCAATAATAAACATAATCGGGTGATATGTAACCTATAAAGTTTGTAATGACACTAAAATAAATGTTACATATAATAATATATAAAAAATGTCACTATAAGTATAATATATGTAGGTATATGTTTATTTGACATATAGTTACTCATAATTTTAGTGTTAATTTTGAATAACATTTAATAATATATTTCATGTGTCACTGTAACTTATACTCATGTCTTTTAAATATATAGTAACATATATTATATTTATTATATAGATAAAAATAATTTTTAATAATACATATTGTGTCACTATAAGATATGTTTCCATTAAAATTTGCTTGTAGTGTGAAATTGTTTCTTCTTCTTTTTTTTCCGTTAAGAAAACATTATTAGACTAGATTGTAAAAATGATTTTCTAGGATAAAACCTAACATTTTGGGTGTCAGATTTGAAGGACACAAATCAATCTACGAAGGGAGGACATGGATATTTGTCAGGAACTTTGTTGCTGGATTTACCATTTAGTGAACAAATTCTCACTGACACTACGGTCAGTACTAATGGACCTCTCATTCCTGCACTAAAATGCTGCATTGACATGATCGCACCCTGTAACATTGCATGTGATCAGGGCCTACCCTTTTTTAATTTTCTGAATAATATATAGATAAATTATATATATATATATATATATCTTCATTCAGGCACTCTTTTTATTCTTTCAATTATATATTTCTAATACTCTTCATTTACTATTTTTAAGATGTACGTATTTTATACAGTACTCTTGCATGTAATTAGTAAAAATATATTTTTCAACTATCTCACACAATTTTTTTAAATATTTTTTATTTATAATTATTAGTATATATTTGTAATTATTTATCTATTTTAATTTAAAATATTAATGATTAAGTATTATAATTTAAATTTATATAATATAATTAAAATATAATTTATATTTCAAATCATATTTTTTAAATATTTATTTAATTAATTATACAAATATAAATATTTATTATATACAATACATTAGTTAAAATATGTTGGTTAATAGTCTAATAGAATGCTTGTGAATAAAAATTCATTACTTATTTGAGCAAATAATTTAAAAGTTGTAAATTATTTATTTATTAACAGTTGATAATTTATTAATTAAATAAGCAACGTTCCTCTGTTATTTCTTTGTCACTCAATTTATTATTTAACATATATAAATTCAATTTAAAGATGATTTTTTTTTACAATGACATTAATAAAATTCAAATATATGATTTTATACATATTATCATATTATCATAACTCTGATAATAAACTGAATTCTAGTAGTTTAAAGATAAGTTTGTAACTTTACATTTATTTGAAGATTACTTTGATAATTTATATCTAATTAAACTCATTTGGACAAAACTTTTTCTATGTAACCAACATGGTGCACAAATATTTATATTACTTATGCATATAGTGAGAGGTTTAATCAAGATGTTGTATATAAAAAGAATATTTATTATAAAAGGTGACTTCCTTAAATATATTTAGTGTATTGAGGCTTGAGGCTCAAATATCTAACTCTTTGACATGAAAATATTTTGAATTCACTCAAAAAATTTATTTATATTTTTTTTACATGATTAAAACACACATAAATATATACACATCATAAGTAGTAAATTTATTTTTTAAAATATTTAACTTAAATATTATAATTAATGGATATAATAAAAATTAAAAACGGCAATGTACATGTACACACGTGTGTGGTATCATATATTTTCACTTTGTTAGAGATTTTGAGGGATTCATTTTTTACCTTTCACAATTTATGCTTTTAGAGTATTTTGCTTTCAGTTTAACTCTGGGTTTTTATATTAAATATTAGGACTAACTTAAGATAAATTAAAGCGTTGCAAATACTCCATAATCTTCTTTATAAGACTCAAAAGTATGTATAACTTGGTCGTTTTTATAAAAAAAATTAGCCTAAAATGCATTTTGCATTAAATAATTTTTTTAAGAAATGTTCTTAATTAAAGTTATTTATACCCTAATTTACTAAATACTTGGTAGAGTAATAATCTTATTAATTAATATAGTAGGGTAGTGTTGAAAAAAAATATAAATTTAGAATAAATTGATATTATTAATTAAATTTACTCAACTTTTTTAATTAGGCATTGTAAAGAAAATAAAAGGAGTATTATTTATTAAATTTTATTGTAGTAAAAGAGTGAAACAAACATAAATGAATTTAATTTAAATTTTCCTCCTTCAAAATAAATAAATAAAACGAATAAAGAAAAGCAAAATATCCTTTTGCATTGGTTTGGGTGGTATGAAGATCTACCTTAAATCTTAGTTTATCTTTTTATGAAAGTTAATAATTATATTCAAGACCTAAAAGTCCCAGGCATTGCGCTTTCTTTGTTATCTCAATACAGAGAAAATCAGTTAACATACATATTTTTTATTATCATTGACTAAAAAAGAGATTTATCAGTAAGAAATAGTAAAATGATAGGAAATAAGGGTTTCTTTTTTATTTATAATAATAGGGAACAAGTTTTGAACTTAAAACATTGAATTTTGACTGAAATTTAGTATAAAAATTACAAATTAAGATAAAGACTTATTACATAATGATGAAATTCATACTTTTTTCGTTTCATAATAAATATTTTGTAAGAAAAGAATAAATTAAAAAATAAATATCATTTTAATTTTTCAATATGATTTTTTTTTTTTCTATTTGTGTCTCTAATAATATACTCTATTAATTTTTTAGATTATTGTTTTATAACATCATTTCTTGTTAATAATAAAGTCTTTTTTTTCAAGAGAGTTAATAATAAAGTTAATTTTATAATTTGTAAATTTTAATTTAAAAAAAACTTAATTAAAACAAAATTTATTATAAAATAAAAAAGATAATTTTAATAAAATTCTTCTTATAATAAAAAGTAAAGTATGTTAAAAAAGTGTGCTAGTTTATTCATAACATTTCTCTTAACATGAAATCATTATGCAGTATGAGTACTTTGAGATCATCATGCATGTATCTGGTCGTGACTAATTTCAACATGATGATCTTAGACCACTAGATAACCATTAACGATTTTCTGCACAACTAAAAATATACATTTCTACGTCGAAATTTACATGTTTACTTGTTTATCATCAATGTTTACACCAATTTTCTTATTCCTGATATATGTAGAAAACTTTCTAAGGAAGAAAATGCACCACTTAAATGTCCTGAGGCAACGTGTGTGTTTAATTATTTGTACTTAAAATATTGTTTAGAACCATTATTTGCTCTATTTACTGTGGTACGTATATACAAGTGTCAACTTTGGGTGTGCCCTTGACCACCTGGTTACTTCTCTCTTAGTTTTGTAGTACTTCATTTTATCCCTCGATAGTGGGGGACATAATTCTCCTTATTGTGTCTGTACGGTGCCGTTTCACGTTTTATTTGTATCACTGGATCATATATGTTCAATCGTACTCTATGCCTGAAATTTAAGTTTGTTTCACAGAAAGAAAAAAAAATGTACAGGTGCACCATTTGAAATAAGAAACTTATATAATCATATATCAAAATGTGAAAAATTAAATATTTCTTTAAGAGCTCACCATATTGTCTAATAGACGTGAAAATTTGATCAACATCATAGAAGCTCAATTCATTTATCAACAAAACTATCAATTAGACTTGATGAAAGAAAATACTTAAACTACACTAATTAAAAAAATGGACACATAAGATATATAAATAACATATATAGATATAACAGCTGACATATGTTTTGTAACTGATTTACTTTTGGTCAGCATTTTCGCTCCAGTTCTTTATTGCTAGTCCCATTGCCTGTTTCACAGCTTGTGCATCAATGCTCTCATTTTGTTCTTCATTCTGCAATTTAAAGTTACCATATTAATTATTTCGTCATTCTTATATGCATAAAAATGGAGCGAGGTAACATAAACCTAAAAGTCTAAAACTATTTGATTTACTTCAAAATTAACCTAGTATTAATTATTAGTCAATTAATTAACGAAATGAAAGTTTCTATATAGGATTATAATCTAAAATATACTATGCTAACATTTCATTAATGCATAGCAACATGGCCCCTCTTGCCTTTTCTTCAAAAGGATGAGAGAGAGGGAAACAGATAGAAGAGGAATGTTTTATATATACACAAGGACAAAGCATGTGACCTACAAAAATAGAGTAATGAGAAGGAAAAGAGAGACACTGAATTAATGATATATTGAACTGGCTAGAGAGCATTTATATTGTATATAAATTTATGCTTATGATAATATTCCGTCTTACTTTTCCTCCAACAGCATGAAATCGAAAGGTGTCTGTGCAAGTAACTCTAGCTTCGAGCACATTAAGACCCATCTCTTCAAATGACTCCAATATGGAAACAAGCAGACCAGGGCAGCTCTTTGCTGAAAATACATTTATAAGAAATCCTTTCTCTAAGCTTTCTACTGTAACCTGTTTATGTCCATCCACAAAATGCAATTCCAATAAACTTTTATTTATAGATTAACAAAGACCTTGGAAATTGGCTTTTATATATATAATCAACTGCAATTGCAGGATATATTGGGAGGAATTAAGATGTTAAATTTTAGTAATTAAGAAAGTATACCATAGGCAAAGTATTTTGGTCACTTGAAGTTTGTGCATTGCCTACGTCTTGATTCAGTCTTTCTACTTTTTGCTTTAACTCTTGGATATACTTTGATGCATCTATTATGATCGAGGTTTTGTTTAGCTGCCACCATCCCAGTAAAAGAACAAGACTATTAGATAATTTGCTATGTCGAACAAAGCACCATGTAAAGTATATAGGAATATGTGTAGGTTATTAATAAGATTAATTCATGTGTTAAATCAGGGACAATTAATATTTAAAAAGAAAAAGGGAAAAAAAGTTTTGTATTTTACAAATGAATTTAATCTCAAATCATCTTACATGAAAGTAATAACTTGTTCTTTTTTGTAATAATTATCTTAAAAGTCATATCATATCAATAATAAATTTTTTTATTAGTTATCAATGTAAAAAAATTTAAACTTAAGAGAGAGCAATCATAGCATGAACTGGGGTGTGAAAGATTTAAGATAACTAAGGTATATAACAGAAAAATCCATGTTATATATAAATATTTCAACTAACCAAAAAGGAATAAAAGTAGGAAGTGGAAGGATATATAACAATGCTAATGAGTTGGAAATGGCATAGAGAAAATGAAATGAAACGAAAGTTGTAAGAAAATAAGCAGGAAATTACGGCATGAGAGTTCGTAATAGAACGAAGAAGTTGCAGCTTCTCATGCAGTGATGCTCTCTTTTGCTCTCTAGAAACCATTTTGTGCTCTCTTAAGTGATCGTTCTGTCCTTGCTAGCTTTCTCTTTTCTGTGATGCTTAATTTACTTTTGCTATGAGCTCTACGGTCATTTTAAAAGAGGATGTGGGCTCTCAAATCTATATGACGTTCTGCTTGGAATCTCACATGATTGTCTCAGTTTCACAAAGAAATACCATACATTCTCACTGAACTTACGCAAATACCCTTTTGCTAAATAATATATATTTTAAACATTTCCTATATAATTAGCCTATTTTTAAAGAATTTCTATTTTTTAAGCTTACATTAAGGATATCTCACCATAATAGCCAAAAATTAATTCCTTTCAAAAAGTAAAGATCCTGAAGTGAATTTTGTTGCTTGCAAAAAAATTTTTTCTATAGCTTGATCAGAAAATTTATATATCGACATGAATGCAAGTTAAAGACGCTACGGAGTTATGAATTATATTTTTATTTTACATTACATGTATCTAAACAAATTTATTCAAGTTGAATAAAATTATTATCAATAATAAATTCTCTCTTAAAATATTTAATGCAATTTGAATTTGATACACGAATCATATAATTTTGACTCATGAGTCAACTAAGAAGACCAACCCCGATAATATTCAACTTCAGTCACCTTAATTTCATTTTACCTGTGTATTGAAGTGAAATTAGTTTATTTTATACTTTATAGGATTTATTTTGATTGACTTTATATATGTTTTTAATTTATTTAGGTGAGAAAATTGGAATATGTAACATAAGTTGAGAAGAGGAATGATGAGCTCGTGACTGAAAGTTGAGCATCGAAAGAAGTGAAGGAGAAGCAACAAATGAAAGGATGTGTTAGTTCTGAATTTGGAATGCATCCAAACACTCCTCACGGGGAATTTTTTTAGGTTCTCCTCCCGCGCGATCTCTCTTCTATCACCAGCAATGAAACTTTGTCCTCTTTTTCCTTCTCTCTCCACACGAGCCTCTTTTCATATCAGACATTCAAACCCTCTTTCTTTTTCCTTTCCCTCGTGAAAGTGAAATTTATATCATACTCTTCGATTTTTGACAAATAAATATATTTAATTTAATCACAATCTTCGTATTTTCATTGAAATATCATATTGTTATTTTTAAAAGCAGTTTGCTTGTCATATATTTAGGGACTTCCACAATATTCATTATAACAAAATAAATTTTTAGTAATAATAAAAATTGTTGAAAATTTTTTTATCAGTATTTTTACATTAGTCATTAGACATTGTATATAATATTATTAAAATATTTATCGACAATTATTCTATTAGTAAATACTTTAATAATGTTCGAGAAAATTATATAAATTTTTGTGACATTATGAATATAAATACTCTTTAATTATTTTATCTTTAATCGATATAAGACTTGTAAGATGATAGTTGTCATCTATTTATATATTCTTTAATTTTCTTATATTTATAATTATCTTGTCTCCTAATTAATTATTCATTAATAGTTGGTGTAGGATTTAAATTTTTTCCAATACACCCTTCAAGTTTAAGACTATTGAGTTTGATAATGGTGAGTAATCTGATACCAACTTAGAATAGTAATTTATAGTCCAACTCTATCTTACAAAACAAACTTATAAGGTGTGAGTTATCATCAACTTATATACTCTTTAATTATCTTATCTCTAATCGATCCGAGATTAAAGTTTTTCTCAATAAATAATTATCACTAATAATAAATTTTGGTGTGATGCAATACACTTTTAGTAACCATTATATATTAGTCATTAATATTTTTATTATTATTAAATAATTATTAATAATAATAAATTTTATTATAATAATTATTAGATCGTTCAACAATAATTATATATAATATCAAGCTCTAAGTTTGTTAAATTTTTAAAAGTAAAAATAATTTTTAACAAATATAGTCATTCTTCATATCATTCTATTATGAATAAAAAAAATAAACTATTTAATTGGTTGGGAGAGGATTTTCTCCATTCTCTAGCTTCATTCTTCTTCATTTTCCTTGTATTTTGGATGCTATGCATGGAATGAGGAATTAAGCTTTTTATTGTTGGTATTAAATAAAAGAAGGTGTTTGTTTCAAAAATATGATACCACATATTATTTGGAATGTTATTTCTGAAAATATTTATAAATGTATTTGGTACGATTTTAACATTTTTAGAAATGATTTTAAATTTTAAAATAATTAAAAAAATTAAAATAAAAAAGAGTTTAATGAATGAATTAAAATATAACTTTTCATATGAGAATATGTCATTCCTAAGCTTATATTTGTGGAAATGAGTTTTTAATCCGTAAAAAAATCACATCCTAATTAAATTTATTATCCTTGTACATATATTTAATAAATATATTTTTCTACATACTTCAATATTAATATTTTTATTTATATGCTTAATACTTGATCGTTCATAACATGATTTATGGTTTTGATAATAATTGGAAATATTTTCTTAACCATTAGTATGAAAGAAAACTCCTAGTGAACCTTATTTTAGGGACTACCTAGTATGGTTTGCTAGTCATCTTTAAAGTTTAAATCACTTAATGAATTATATCAAATAGTTTTGTTAAATGGGCAAGAATTGACATTTAAAAAAAAGATTTGAGATTTTTTTTATCTAAAGGATTAGAATTAAGAGAGTATTTATAAACTAATGATAATTTTGAAGTTGAAAAATAGCATATAACTTATTTATGAAAAGAGTGTTGTACCACTACACTAAAAATAGTTTTTTTTTTTGCAATTAATTTATTATTTAACGGCCATATAATTTGTCATTATTTTTTTTATCAGCATTTAAATAATGGCTGGTGTATCCAGTGTCGCTAATACTATTACCGACATTTATATAAAATATCGGTAAAGATCTACTAAATTATCGAAAAAAATTTATTTTTTTAATGGCAATTCTAGTAGCCATTTTAAAGGTTATTAAAAGTTGTGTCCTTTACTTTAAATAATTTATTCTTATAATTTCCTTTTCTAAACTCATAACTTATATATTTTTTTATCTCTGCTCGATGTGGGATTTGTAAGATGAAAGTTATCTTTTAGTTATATATTTTTTAATTTATTTTTTTAATTGTTTTGTCTCTTAAGAGATGTGAGATTTATAAGGTGAAAGTTGTTCTCTAATTGTTTTATAGCACTATTGAACTTAGTAACAATGAGTGATTTGATACCAATTTTGAATAATGAATTAGGAGTCAACCCTGTAAAATAAATCTGTAAGGTGATATATACTATTTAATTATCTTATCTGTAATCGATGTGGGACGTAAGTTCTTTTTAATAAATAATTATCGCTAATAGTAAACTTTAGTGTAATATAAATACATTTTTAGTAACTATTATATATTAGTCATTAATATTTTTATATATGACGGTAATTAAATTATTGCCATTAAATAATTGTCATTAATAACAAATTTTATTGTAATGTACTATATTTCTAATATTTCATTCTATTGCATGTTATGTAAATGAGAATATGATAAAAAAAAATATTTTTTTAAACTTTATTTATTATATTTGTAATGAAAACTCAATATATTAATTGGTTACATTAAAATGTTCATTTTATGTATAATTTGTAATTAATTGTATCATCAAGTATTACACGAGTCCTTGAAAATAAAAATATTTTATTAACTTTTGAATACTATTAAACGAATTAGTACACTTTGCTTATAAAAAAAAAAAAAAACAAATTAGTACACTTGTGAAAGAGTTAATTAACACGCCACACCAACATGGCTTGCTCCATCACCAAGTGAACTTGAATCATGTAAGGAATGATTCATATATATATAGTTTAAATTTATATTTTGATACTGAAGTTTAAAAATTAAACATCACAAAATTTTTAAAATTAAAATTATATTTAATTTTTTAGAATTCAAAATTTAAATCAGTAATCTCATGGTCCAAAAATATAATTAGAATATAATATTTATATTAAGATATGGACGCTTTATAAATAGAGGTTTCAAAATTGGCCCTACAAATAGATTGGTCTAGCTATATAATTGGTTTAATCAGTCCATTGCATGAGAAATTTGAGCTTATTTTATTTTATTTTTTATAATGTACCTTTTTCTATTTAGTAAAATGATAATATTCATTATCTTGTTATATAAAGTTTATAGTGATTAATCATATTTATTAATTAACTTGTTATATTTTAAAATATGAGTGGCCCATAAGTCAGTCCACGATATATATACCAAAAGTTGGGATAGGCTAGCAAAATTTCAGTATGATATTAATTAAACTAACTTGATCTCTCCTAAGGTATTCTTGGTGTAGAACTAAGGATTAATTTCTCGAGTTATTTAAAAGTGTCAACTAATGTTTTTTCCAATTACATGAACCTAATAATTGAAACTTATCTGTCAATAATGATAATAAACTTAAATTTATATATAATGCAATGACAATTAACTGTTCCCAAAAACGTTAGATAAAAACTCGTGACAAATGCATCTAGTATGAATTGAATTACACATATAGAGATGTGTGTACATGCACACATAATGACAGGGATCTAGTTCATATGATATGTATGTATTTTGTATTTAGAACTGTTACTTGTTGTTGCTTGCAGTATTGTCACCATTCCACAAGGACAAATCACGTACCCATTCACATGTGTGCCCATTTAATCATCACAACAAAACAATAGTATCCTCCATATATACGCATGTATCCTGCTCCTGCCTTGTCCATTGCCTCCATCAAGAAGTATTTGTTGCACTGCTCTGAACTCCCCTAGCTAGAGTACTCTTTTGGATCCCATTATGTTCACCTAGCCTTTCCTTGTGACCCAATTTTCCACCTCAACCTCTAGCCCAATGCTTTCTTGTAATCTTATATATATTTGGATGCTAGGGCTTTCAAAGATTGTTTAATAAATTAATCGTGCATGCTTATCCACTGACTTATTATTATTATTATATTAATACAAAATATTTATCATTAAAAACAACGATTAATCTTCATCATAAATTATAAATATATATATATATATACCCTTTTTAACATAAGATATTTTATATTTGAATCAAAATTTAAACTTCAAATTCGGACGACAAGTTAAGAAACACACTATTATCACTTTTACTAATTAGATT